TGTGGGTTCTATAGACAGCAAATAGCAGTAGCTCCTGAAGACAGAACCTTCCCTGCTGGAAAGCCAGGGTATGTGTGTATTCCCGGTTGTGCGCTTTGCACAACAGGGAATGATGATCGTTGGAATCTGTGGTAGGACTGAGGTGGAACTCAGGTATACGTAAAGAGAGACTGATTTGTAGAGAAACCGGGAGGTGGGCCGGAGTGTAGTGGTGTGATCTTGGCTCACTGCAACCTCTGACTCCTGAGTACTCAGCCTCCTGAGTAGCTGGGATTACAGGTGCCTACTACCAGTCCCAGCTAATTTTTGTGTTTGACAGGTTTCACCATGTTGGCCAGGCTGGTCTCAAACTCCTGATCCACCTGCTTCACCCTCCCAAAGTGCTGGGATTATAGGGTAAGCCACCATGCCCTGCTGATTGTCTTATCTGTAAAGTGAGGATAAATGGACATAAGAGTACTGTACGTAGCATAGAATAAACACTCCACAAATGGTGGTTTACTGTGAGTGGTAATCATTAAGATGAGACAAGGGTATGGTTTATAGGCTGCCTGAGTTCCGGAGATGGCTGCTAATCATGCCACACGCCGTGATTAAGTGTCCTGTTTTTACTCCGCCACCATTTGTTATTTGATGGACTTGATCCTCGGAGGAGCAGGGCGGAATTCCAAAGGCATGTGTTTGAAATGAAAGGGGAGCAGGGTGGAATTCCAAAGGCATGTGTTTGAAATGAAAGGGGAGGTGCATGCGCACGGTTCTCCTAGGGCTGTTCTGTAACCACGGTTGAGAGACAGGGCTCCTCTAGTCTGAGGATGACCCACTTAGGTGGAGTTCCCTGTTGGCTCTGCCCCTGTGACCTGGACCTTCAGGGGTATGGTAGGAATTGCTCCTTCACTCAGCAGATGTCTGAAGGCCACAGGTGTGGCAGGTCCTGCAGTGGCACATTTTCATGATATTCCTGTCCACAACAGAGTGCGCATGCATTGGCGGTTCCCTAGGATGATCATACTGTGTTTTTACCTCCCTTTTTTGTGTTGAGACAAATAATTGCCATCCTGTTAGGGTGGCCTAGAGTGTCTGGGACAGTACCATGCAGTCGAGGTTTGTAGCCGAGAAGCAGTGGGTTCTCCCGACAGCCCAGGTATGTGGCGGGCTGTGCCTTCCAGGAGCGTGTGAGTGCACTCTGACAGCACAGTCTTGACAGCCCAGTGACAGAGTTGCCTGACAATATGTTGTTTCTTAGAACCTGTCTGTCATTAAGCAGTGTGAGACTGTATGTTGTAGAATTTTGTAAGGTATAGACTTCAGAATTGTTCCGAGAAGTATTTGCACATGGAGTGCTTACCTCTGATTGGACCCTAGACTTATGGAGTCATCTGGTGTGTATCCGTTTTCTGTTAGTATCATGGCCCAGCCCATTGGAGGGGCCTGGTGGGGACACTGCCTGGCAGCTTGCCCCCTTTGGCGCTCTGCTGTGTGCAGCTTCTGAGCCTCGAGGCAACCACCCCCACGACGTCCCACCATATTCTGTAATGTCCATAGACTTCTGGCCAAGGAGGACATGTGAATGTTTTAAGACTCCATATTTAGGCATGACAGCAGTTGCAAAGCCTGTTGGGGATTCAAATATAAATGGACTTTTTGAAGTAACTTTATTTTTCTAAAGAGGGATGTGGAGTATTTTTATAGAAATTTTTTCCCTTTTTAGGCACAAAACACTGTGATAGTTGGCTACTGCCACAGAAAGTTAATTGAGTCCTTTGTGTCAGCCAGAGGATGAGACTCTGGTGGGATTCCCATGCAGGCAGTGGAAGGAGGCCCTGCCCCAGCGCCAATAGGGCAGCTGGGGGGCACCCCTCAGCCCCAGGCCTTGTGTTCCGTTGCTGGACGGGGATGGCAGTGACAGCACTCAGTTCTTTTTTTGAAGCAGACTTGGATGCAAACACAGTGGTTTAGTTTTGAATGAAGGTCTGGTTCTCAGATTGTTCTTAAAAAGTAATCCATCAGGAAATGGATCAGCAAGAAGGGAGTTCATTTCTTGCTCTGTGTGTGGGGTTTTCTTCTCAATCGATGGTCTCACCTGCGGTGTGTCCGTTGTATGGCTGTCCCGTGGGGCACCCAGTCAGGAGGGGATGGAGCGGCCGTGGGGTCTGGAACTGTGAAGTGAGGCCAACTTGCAGGACTCCGTAGAGACTTAGTGAGCTGAGGTCCTGCTACGCATCAGTATGTGAGGAGGCCGCCTCACAGGCTCATGCCAGCTCCAGGTTGGATTAGTAAAACTGGTGTCTAGAAAAAGGGACTGCTTGCTTCTGGTTGACTTTCCATGGATGGGTGTGGTAGTCATTCTGAGTGCCATGTTAAAAGGAATGCTGCTGACGGAGGGTGCTGGAGGAGAGGAGCCAGTGGGAACCTGCGTGTGAACAGGGAGAACGGAATTTGCTGCAGCCCCCTAGGAGTCAACCTGGTGATTCGGTGAATGATCCCTCTGAACTTTGTAAACTTGGAATAGATGACTCAAGCTTCCTTTTAACTTTTAGAGTCCATGTCCTGATGTGTTTTTAGGGTACTTGCCTCTTTGTAGGCTTTTACGGAAAACGCTGTAAGTGGGTTTGGGGGATTGCTGTGTAATATGCAGAAAAATAAATGGAGGAAGAACGCATTGTGTAAGTAGGCACCGACTTGTGTGATGAAAGCTGCAACTATCCTTTGCAGCCCAGAGTGACTATGACCTGTGTGGAGAGGTTGGCGGGCCGGGCAGAGAGTGTGTGAGAAAGCCATGGAGAATCCTAGGGAGTGGATTCCTAAGTAGGCGAGGTGGGTCATCAGCGAGGATCCCAGGGAGTGGATTCCCAAACAGGAGGTGAGGCGAGTCATCAGGATCCCAGGGAATGGCTGCAGCGCCCCTGCCCACCAACCCTCCTTAAGGCCCTGCCCTGGTACCTGTGGCTCTAGGAGATTTCCTCGGTAGTCCCAGCACACGCACCTGTTGAGGCCCATAATGTAGCCCACAACCTTCCCTGTGTGCCCAGCCTTCTCTGTGCTTGGCCTTCTCTGTACCTGGGCGCCCTGCACATCCGTGGCCTGTGTAAGCACCTCTGCAAGCTTTCTGAGCGCTTGCTGCCCCAGTGCCTCCTCCCCACCCCACTCTGTTCCGTTGTTCCTCCCTCTGGTTGTGAAAGTCACGGCTGCTCACTGGAGGACTGCTGGGAGATGCAGGAAAGAATCAAGACCAGAAAACCACTGAGTACCCCCAGATAGAATCAGGAATAGGACTGGCTTTGCACCCTGCCTTTTCACTTAGTTTTTTTGAGCATTCTTCCATGATACGCAGAATGTTTCTTAAACATCTTTGTCAAGTTGATAGAATGAAACGCTATCTGCTTTATTTGAAATTCTTTGATTTCTAGGGAGGTCGGTTATAGTTTTGTTTTCATTATTTGTATATTTTTAAGGTTTTAAATTTGCTTTTTGTATTGCCGTATATTTTTATATCGGTGTTATTGAGGCATAATTATAATGAAATTCAGTAACATGCATACCTTTTAGGTACAGAGTTAGATGAGTGTTACGAAATATGCACACCCATGTCATCACCACCACAGTCGAGACGTAGGCCTTCGTGGCACCTCAGAGAGCGCCCTCTTACCCTGTGTAGTTGGTCCCCTCCCAGCACCTACCCCGGAAAGCCGCTGTGGGCCATGGTGGCATCTCGCGTTTATGACGCTTGTGTGCATGGAGTCCAGCAGAACCTGCTTTTGTTCAGCGAGGTGATTGCTGTGTGCGTCAGTAAATGATTCCCTTTTGTTTCTGAGAAGTCCTCCCCAGTGTGGGCAGCAGCGCACGCTGTTCATGCACCCACTGAAGGACAGCTCGGCTGCTGGGATGACGGCAGAGAGCATCTGTGAACATGTGCATGTCAGTCGTGTGCGGACCACTGTTTTCCTTTCTCTTGAGTAAATGTTTAATGTCGTATTGCTAAGCTGTGCACCAAGTATGTTTCACATTACAGAAACGGTCACTGTGGCTTCACTGTCTTGCATTCTCACCAGTGCCGTGGGTCCAGCCGCCCTGCGGCCTCCTCAGCACTTGATGTTGTCTTGATTTCGGGTGCCCAGCCATGTGTGGTAGGAGGTCACAGTGGATTTGGCACGTGTTTCCCTGACCACTTGTGATGGCGGCCATCTTTTCCTGTTTTCATTGGCCATTTTCCGTCTTCTTTCCTCCATTTTTATGTCATATGAACTTTCTGATCAAATCTTTTGTTTGTGTTTTTATTGGGTCATTTATCTTACTATTATAAGGTACAGTTCTGGACCGGGCACGATGACTCATGCCTGTAATCCCAGCACTTTGGGAGGCTGAAGCGGGCAGATCACTTGAGGTCAGGAGTTGAAGACCAACCTGGGTAACATGGCGAAACCCCATCTCTTTTAAAAAAAAAAAAAAAAAAAAACAAAAAAAAAAAAAAAATTAGCCAGGCATGGTGGTGCAAGCTTGTAATCCCAGCTACTCAGAAGGCTGAAGCAGGAGAACTGCTTGAACTTGGGAGGCAGAAGTTGCAGTGAGCCAAGATAGCACAACTGCACTCCAGCCTGGGTGACAGAGTGACTCCATCTTAAAAAAAAAAAAAAAAAAAATTGGAATTCTGTATGTATTCTGGATTCAAATCATTTGTTAGTCATGTCTTTCAAAATATTTCTCCCAGTCTGTCTTTTGCCTTTTTTTGAGGCTTTGTATTTTGATGGAGTCCAGTTTATAATGTTCTCCCTAAGAAATGTTTATGCACTCCAAGGTCATGGAGATTTTCCCAGTTTTATTCCTGAAGTTTATAGTAGCTAGCTAGGATCTTATTGCATGGTTTTGATAGCTCATGGTATTTAATTCGTGAGCAGTAAGTGCTCCCAAAACAGAAAACAGTGAGAAATTGGGTGTTGTTGTCATTTTTAGAGCAACCAGCAATTAAGCAAGTTCATAGTGTTTTTTTGTTTCTTTCGTTTTAGATCAACAGGGGGTCCTTCAGGTCGGAGTGGACATCGGATGGTGGCCTGGAAGAGACAGTTGATCCTTTTTGGTGGCTTCCATGAAAGTGCACGGTTGGTACCAAGAATGGAAAAATCTCTTTCCTGAAGCATTAAGGGGTGGACTTTTTACGGGAAGAACATTCTGAATACACAAGAAAGATGTGCCCATTCTCCTACATCCAGCTTCACCAGACCTTGGTGTGGGTAGCCACACAGGGCCTTGACCCTGAAGGGTCACACACCTGGTCTTGAACTGGCTTCATGCTGTGTTCGTATTGAAATTCTTAACCTTGTTGAACAGGGACCCTACATTTTAGTTTTACACCAGGCCCTGCAAATGATGTGGCTAGTTGTATCTAAAATGGGGTTTTGGCTAGGCACAGTGGCTCACACCTATAATCCCAGCACTTTGGGAAGGTGAGGCAGGTGGATCACTTGAGGTCAGGAGTTTAAAACCAGCCTGGCCAACGTAGTGAACCCTTTCTGTACTAAAAATAGAAAAATTAACTAGGCATGGTGGCAGGCGCCTGTAATCCAGCTATTCAGGAATCTGAGACAGGAGAATCGCTTAAACCCAGGAGGTAGAGGTTGCAGTGAGTTGAGATCCTGCCACTGCACTGCAGCCTGGGTGACAGAGTGAGACTTTGTTTGAATGAATGAATGAATAAATAAATGGGATTCTAAAACCTTACCTGAGTTCGGAATACTTTGGAGTACTGGTTAGAGTGCTGATTGCAGCTCTGACTCAGAGGGCTGGAGTGAGGCCCAAGAATCTGCATTTTAACGAGCTCCCAGGTGATGCTGATGTTGCTGGCCAGTGGACCTCACTTTGAGAGCCACTGGCCTGTAATAACTTAAAAACACTCCGGTCCGGGAAAGCAGCAATAGCATATCTTCCACAGTGATACCTTAAGAGGAAGCCGGTAGTTCTCTGTTGATGTCACGTGGATGTTTGTGCAGCCGGCATGGCTGCCCAGGGTGAGCCGCAGGCGCTCTGATTGTTGTAGGCCTGTCGTCTGCTCGTGTATGTTCTTGAGCTTCCTTAGTTCAGTCCAGGAAAGTACTGGGGGGGGGGAAAAAAAAGCTGGTGATCCCTGTTTGTGTCACAAGCGCAGTAGCATTCTGGGTAAGGTGAAGGCCATCTTTTTTGAAGGACTTTACGCTGGCCTCCTGCGGTGTGAGAGACAATGGCTGTCTTTATCTCCGGGGCCTCATTAGAAGCTCTGTTTCTCTCCTGGTCCCTTCGGAAATAGCATCTCGATGGATGTGATGGCGCCAGTCACACCTTTGTCACATTGCAAGTCCAGTTGCACGTTCTGGTGATTCTCTGCTGATTCTTGGTGCATCATGATAAGTCTCTTCAGCCATGTGGGAAAGCCTGTGTTGGGTGGGTTAGGAGGGGCAGGTGATGGAATTTTTCAACATTGTGGTATGGATTGGGCTCAGTTAAGGTTTCAGAATTTTTTTTTTTTTTTTTTTTTTTGATAGGGGTTTTCAGTCTTGTTGCCCAGGCTGGAGTGCAGTGTGCAGTCTTGGCTCACTGCAACCTCCACTTCCCAGGTTCAGGCGATTCTCCTGTCTCGGCCTCCTGTGTAGCTGGGATTACAGGTGCCTGCCACGATGCCCAGGTAATTTTTGTGTTTTTAGTAGAGACCGGGTTTCACCATGTTGGTAAGGCAGTTCTCAAATGACTGACCTTAAGTGATGTGCCTACCTCAGCCTCCCAAAGTGCTGGGATTACAGGCGTGAGCCACCACGCCTGGCCAGGTTTCAGATTTTCTTTACAAATATATTCTCATTAATGTTGTGAATTGGGGGGAAAGGGGATCCAAATGCTTAAATACTTTATAAGGCGGGAAATTTTAAGAATGTAATTTGGATTAAAAGGTGTTTAAGGCTGGGCACAGTGGCTCCCGCCTGTAATCCCAGCACTTTGGGAGACTGAGGTGTGTGGATCACTTGAAGCCAGAAGTTTGAGACCAGCCTGGTGAAAACCTGTCTCTACTAAAAATACAAAAAAAAAAAAAATCAGTCAGGTGTGGCGGTGCATACCTGAAATCCCAGGTACTCAGGGAGGCTGAGGCAAGAGAATTGCTTGAACCTGGGAGGCAGAGGTTGAGGTGAGCGGAGATTGTGCTATTGCACCCTAGCCTGGGTGACAGAATGAGACTCTGACTCAAAAAATATCTTAGTGCGTTTTATGTGGCTGTAACAGAATACCTGCGAACAGGTAATTTTTAAAAAGAGGTTTCGCTTTATGCCAGCACACACTTGGGAAGTAATCCCTTGCTGCAAGAACGAATCTAGTGTTGTTGCAGCAGCGGCAGCTCATGCTAGCGGAGAACTGCACCCAGCCGCTCACGAGGGGTCCGCGCCTGACCCACACACCTCTCCCAGGCCTCTTTCCCAACACTGCACTCTGGGGATCAGAGCATGAATTTGGGGGGGACAAACTCAAACCATAACAAGGCATGGTTTTGTGTCCTCGAAGGAGTTACCTGGATGCGACAGTGCTATAATTTTGAATGGTTTGCAAATGTTTTTACACTCATTCTCTTCAAGAACAAGCTGTCGCTAGCAGGTCATCATCTCACATTAAAGATGAGGAAGCTGCTGGGCTTCGTGGCCCAGCACCTTGGCCTCCCAGAGTGCTAGGATTTCAGCACTTGGGAGGCCAAGGCTGGTGGATCACCTGAGGTAAGGAGTTAAGACCAGCCTGGCCAACTTTGCAAACCCCATCTCTACTAAAAAATAAAAAATTAGCCAGGCACGGTGGGCACCTGTAATCCCAGCGACTTTGGAGACTGAGGCAGGAGAGTCGCTTGAACCCAGGAGACGGAGGTTGCAGTGAGCCGAGATGGTCCACTGCACTCCAGCCTGGGCAACAGAGAGAGACTCATGGAAGGGGGAAAAAAAAAAGATGAGGAAGCCGAAGTAAGTCCTAAGTTACTCAGCTCACTGTAGCCTCCACCTTCCAGGTTCAAACTGTGTGCCTCAGCCACCCGCATAGCTGGGATTATAGGTGCTTGCCCCCATGCCTGGCTAGTTTTTTGTATTTTTAGTGGAGACATGAGGTTTCTCTATATTGGCCACGCTGGTTTTGAACTCCTGACCTCAAGTGATCCACCTGCCTCAGAATCCCAAAGTGCTGGGATTACAGGCATAAGCCCAGCGCGTCCAGTATGTTTATCTGAAAACCAGGTGTGCGACTGGTGCTGGGTAGACACCTGTGACTTTTCCTGCCTCACACAAAACAGAACGAGGAGGAGAAAACCAGGTACTTCAGACTTGGGCTAGAGCTGCTCGCTCTTCCATGTTTTCTTTCCTTAAATCAGTTCGGCGCTCCTTTTTGAGTAGCCGGAGAGCAGCGTCTTACTCTTTTACAATTATTTTGTCGAAGTCCAGCGTTAGAACAGGACATTCTGGGTATGCCACAGAGTCTCCCCATGCTTCCAGCAAAGCTGCCCCTTCCCTACGCGGCCTGATCTGCGTGCTGGGTCCGGCAGGTAGTGAGCAAGGCAGGAAATGTTAAGGGCATTTCTGTTAACATGCCTTGTTGCCTTGCTGTGTTCTCAGGTGCAGAGGATTGGCTTCTGCGGTCTGCAGTTTTCTGAGAGCGCCTAGCCCCCTCGTTCACCCTCCATTCCACACGGCGTCCTACTGCGCTTCCTGCCAGGCTGCGCATCCCTCCCTTCTGATCGTTCAGTTAAATGTGTCGTTCACTGCTGCCCTTCAAGTTGCACACCTAGTAACCATGCTTGTGTTAACTGTGTAAGGAAATACAGTATGGCTTTCAGATTAAATTCCTATGCCTCGCTCTTCTTCTGGCTGGAACCATGGAGGGTGTAGAAGAGAAGGTTCCTGCTGTGCCAGAAAGCCTTAAGAAACAGCAAAGGAATTTCGCAGAGCTGAAGATGAAGCGCCTGAGAAAGAAGTTTGCCCAAAAGATGTTTCGAAAGCCAAGGAGGAAGCTTACCTATGAGAAATCGAAGCACTGTCACAGGAATATAGGTAGATGTACAGAACTGAAAATCGAATGTGAGGATGGCAGGGAAAGCTGGCAACTTCTGTATACCTGCAGAACCCACACGTGTTTGTCCTCAGGACCAGAGGGCTCAGCGGTGTGAGCCCACAGGCTGGAAAGGTGTTGCAGCTGCTTCTCCTTCCTCACATCTTCAGTGGAACCTTTGCAAAGCTCAGCAAAGCTTCCGTTTACAGGTTGAGGATTCGAGCCATATATTGCATGTGGGAACCCAAATCTGAAGTCAGTAAATGACTAACGTTCAAACGTGGTTATGGCAAAATCAGTAAGAAGTGAATTGCTTTGACAGATAATGCTTTGATTGCTTGATCTCTTGGAAAATGTGGCATCATCTGCATGGAAGATCTGATTCATCGGATCTATACTGTTGGAAAATGCTTCAAAGAATCCAGTAACTTCCTGTGGCCCTTCCAATCATCTTCTCCATGAGGCAGAATGAAGGAAAAAAACCACCAATTTTGTAGGAGGTGGAGATGCTGGCAACAAGGAGGACCAGATCAACAGGCTTATTAGAAGAATGAACTAAGGTGTCTACCATGATTATCTTTCTAAGCTGCTCAGTTAATAAACAGTACCTGCTCTCAAATTGGGAAAAAAAAAAAAGTTCCTATGGGTTTGTGGGCCAGCATTATTTCTGATTTTCAAATGTAAACTCATGTGCTTGTGGTCCTTTCATGTAAATTCACACTTGAATTAAACAGGTGACTTGGTAAAAGTGTTGGGCTGCCTCTGGGTAGTTTGCGTCAAGATTGAAGTCAAGGAGATATGGCAGGTGTCTGTGGCTTGTTGCAGGGAAAACACCCACATTTCTCTGTTGATAGGTTGGTGTGAGAGCAGAGGAGAAAAATGGTCTGGGGTTTTTCCAAACAGTAGGAAATTTACCTTTAATTTAAATCAGGTTCAGTTTTTAATGTCGGGCTTTTTCCAGAATTGCTGATCCTGACGGTGTTGCTTTGTTCTAACCAGGGATTACATCTATTACAACGACGTGTATGCCTTTAATCTGGACACCTTCACGTGGAGCAAGCTGTCCCCGGCTGGGACAGGGCCCACACCCAGATCAGGCTGCCAGATGTCCGTCACTCCTCAAGGCGGCATCGTCCTCTACGGGGGCTACTCGAAACAGGTAGGTGCGGCGTGAGGACATGGGCACTGCTTTCTGTGGCCTCCAGTTTCATCAGCGTGGAAACTTTCAAATAGGATGACTCATTGGTTTCATATCAACAGCTCTCTTTGTCGAATTAGAAATGGAGAATGGTGTTCCTCTGTGAACTTGGTGAGACTGTTAGGGCCATATGTTCTCATCCACACTCCTCTCAGCAGTGCAGTGTGAACGACTCCACATTCCGAAGGTCTCCTTCCTGCCTCAGACACTCACGACTGCATAGTAATCCCTGTGGAATGAAATTCTCCTCACTCCCGTTCGTGGGCTTTTCTCTTTGGTCAGCTGGGAACGGTGCCGACAGGAATGTTCCTGCACCCACCTGCTGGTGGGGCACGTGCTCCGCATGCATGCTGATGTCTCCTGCTGGTGAGGCGTGTTTTTCCACGTGCACACTGCGCATTCTGCTCGTGGGGCGTGATTTTCCACATGCACACCGGGGCGTTCTGCTCGTGGGGCGTGATTTTCCACGTGCACACCGGGCATTCTGCTCGTGGGGCGTGATTTTCCACATGCACACCAGGGCGTTCTGCTCGTGGGGCATGATTTTCCACATGCACACCGGGCATTCTGCTCGTGGGGCGTTCTGCTCATGGGGCGTGATTTTCCACGTGCACACCGGGCCGTTCTGCTCGTGGGGTGTGATTTTCCACGTGCACACCGGGCCGTTCTGCTCGTGGGGCGTGATTTTCCACGTGCACACCGGGCCGTTCGTGGGGTGTGATTTTCCATGTGCACACCGGGCCTTTCGTGGGGTGTGGTTTTCCACGTGCACACTGGGCCGTTCGTGGGGCGTGATTTTCCACGTGCACACAGGGGCGTTCTGCTCATGGGGCGTGATGTTCTGCAGGCACACTGGGCCGTTCTGCTCGTGGGGTGTGTTTTCTGTAGAGGTGGCTGGCGCAGGCTCAGTCCTCGGCACCCTAGTGTTCCTGTTGCTTCATTCCCATTTCACACCTCACCAACCTTTACATTTTTGTGAACCTGAGAGGCACAAAATGGTATCTCATTGTAGGGTTTTAAGAAATCCTTTATAATTTGAAAACTTTCAGACACAGCTAAGTTGAAAGAATTTTCCAGGGAAGACTTATGTACTCCTCCTAGGTCCTCCCGTTAAGATTTTGCTGTACTTGCTTCGTCACATGTCTGTTTACATAGCTGTACCCTTTGCCATCTCTCCGTTGTCTTTTTTGATGTGTTTCACAGGGAAGTGCAGACGTCCTCCCTGTAAATACTCCAGCATGCATATGACCAAGTTGAGGTCCAGGGTCATTTCTTAGGCATAACTTACCCCCAGCGAGGGCACACGCTCTTGTTTTTTTTTTTTTGAGATAGAGTCTTGTTCTGTCGCCCAGGCTGGAGTGCCGTGGGGCAATTTCGGCTCACTGCAGCCTCCACTTGGGTTCAGACGATTCTCCTGCTTCAGCCTCCTTAGTAGCGGAGACTGCAGGCATGCGTCACCATGCCCAGGTAATTTTTTTTTTTGGATTTTTCGTAGACATGGGGTTTCACCATGTTGGTCAGGCTGGTCTCAAACTCCTGACCTTGTGATTCACCTGCCTCTGCCTCCCAAAGTGCTCTGATTACAGGAGTAAGATACCGCGCCCGGCCCGAGGGCACACATTCTTACAAGTGTGCACACCGTGTGACCAACACCCTGGTCCTGCCCTGCCTTTACCACTTGGCTCCCCTGCCGTCACCCCCAGAGGTGAGGCTGCTCTGATTTTCCTACCGTATCAGATCTGCCTGTCCTGGAGTGTCTGCTAAACGCAGTCACCCAGATTTGAGCAAATCTCACTCACTGAGCTTTTCAGATTGACATATGCTGCCTGTTTTTGTTCATTGCTGCTTTGTGCTGAGAAGTGTTCCATGAGATGACGATCCCACAGTTTGTGGTTCTGTTTTTCGCTGATGGACACCTGGGCTGTTTCCATTCTTGGGAAGACACAGCCCTTGGATCAGCCGTGAATAAAGCTGCTATGGGCATGTCCATGTGAGTCTGTGTGTGGCTACATGTTGGTTTCTCTTGGGTAAATGGCTATCTACAGTGGAACTGCTGCACCCTAGGGTGGGTGTGGGTGTTATTTAACAAGGATTGCTCAGCTGTCTTCCCAAAGCAGTGGCCCGTTCCACTTGTGCTGGAAATGTCAGGGAGGTCTGGTCGTTTTGGTTCTTATCAGCCTGACGGCATCAGTCTTTGTTTTTAGCCATTCTGGTGGATGTGTGGTATCTTGTGGTTTTGATTCTCATTTCTCTGATGACTGCTGGTATTGAGCGCTTTTTGTGAGCTTATTGGTCACATGTACATCGTCCCCGACGTATGTGTTCACAGCTTCGGCTGTTGGTAATGGGTTGTGTTTTTGTTAGTGAGTCGCAGAGGTTTGCATTCTGGAGCAGTCCCTTTCAGGTGTGTGTGTTACAATTACCCTCCCAGTAGTGGCCAGCCTGGTTGCCTTCTTGAGTGTTTGTTAATGAGTAAAAGCTTTGAGTTTTGATAAAACCTATTTATGTTTTTCTTTTATGATTGTTACTTTCTGTGATATAGGAAGTATCTGTGATACCTTGTTTATTTTCAGTAACAAAGATTTTCTTACATTTTTCTCTAAAAATTAGATGGTTTTATAATTAGTCCTGTGATCTGCCCTGAAATAATTCTCTAGAGTAGCATGAGGTGGGTGTTGAGGCTCATCCATTTCCCCCACATAGACACTGATCTATCTCAGCGTCATCTGTTGCAAAGGCTTTAGGCTGGGCGTGGCAGCTCACGTCTGTAATCACAGCACTTTGGGAGGCTGAAGCAGGTGGATCACTTGAGGTAAGGAGTTCGAGACCAGCTTTGCCAACATGGTGAAATCCTGTCTCTACTAAAAAATACAAAAATTAGCCGGGAGTTGTGGCACATGCCTGTAATCCCAGCTACTCAGGGGGCTGAGGCAGGAGAATCGCTTGAATGTGGGAGGCAGAGGTTGCAGTGAGCCGAGATTGTGGCACTGCACTCCAGGCTAGGCAATAGAGCGAGACTCTGTCTCAAAAAAGAAAAAAAGGCGTTTTATTCTCCATTGAATACCTTAGGAACCTTTATTGGAAATCATGTGACTGCAGGAATATAGTTCTGTTCCTGGGCTCTGTTCTGATGCCAGTATCTCACCAGCCTCGCTTTGACGCCTTGGTGATAACTCCTGGAGTAGCAGTCATTCAACTGCTGCTTTTTAAAGTTGTTTTAACTGTTCTGTGCTCTGAACATTATATGTTTTACTGTGAACTTGTAGATGTCTAACAAAAAAGGGCGGAAAACCTTTTCAGGAGCCTGCTGGAAATCATGATTAGAGTTGCTTTCAGTCTGTAGATGAATTTAGGGAGATTTGATATCTTTGAGTCTTCCAATCCTTGAACAAGGATTATCTCTCAATTTATTTTGGTTTTTTTTTTTTGTGGAGACGGAGGCTCTCTCTGTCACCCAGGCTGGAGTGTAGTGGCGCCATCTCAGCTCACTGCAACCTCCGCCTCCCAGATGTAAGCCATTCTCTGCGTCAGCCTCCCCAGTAGCTGGGATTAAAGCGCCTGCCACCATGCCTGGCTAATTCTTTTGTATTTTTAGTAGAGATGAGGTTTCACCATCTTGGCCAGACTGGTCTTAAACTTCTAATCATGTGATCTATCCACTTTGGCCCCCCAAAGTGCTAGGATTATAGGCGTGGGCCACCGAGCCTGGCCTATTTTTGTTTTGTGTTGTTTTCTTTCTGTTTATTACTTTTTTTTTTTTGAGTCAGGGTCTTACTCTTTCACTCAGGCTGGAGTACAGTGATGCCATCTTGGCTCAGTGCAGTCTCGACCTGGGCTCAGGCAGTCCTTCTGCCTCAGCCCCACAAAAGCTGGTACTACAGGTGCACACCATTACGCCTAGCTAATTTTTCTGTTTCTTTGTAGAGGTGGGTTTTGCCACATTGCCTAGACTAGTCTTGAACTCCTTGGCCTTTGCCCATCTTGGCCTCCCAGAGTGCTGGGATTACAGGAGTGAGCTGCCATGGCCAGCCAGTTTTCTGTAATGTTTTTCAGCAGTGTTTTTTATTTCTCAATGTAAAGGACTTATATGTTATTAAATTTATGTTTATTGATGCTGTTGTCAGTGGAGTTCTTGAAATTATACTTTCCCATTATTTTCTGCTAATATATAAAAACACATTTTTGGCTGGGCACAGTGGCTCACGCCTGTCATCCCAGCACTTTGGGAGGCCAAGGTGAGCAGATCACCTGAGGTCGGGAGTTTGAGACCAGCTTGAGCAACATGAGAAACCCCATCTCTGCTAAAAATACAAAATTAGCCAGGTGTGGTGGCGCGTGCCTGTAATCCCAGCTACTTGGGAGGACGAGGCAGGAGAATTGCTTGAAGCCGGAAGGCAGAGGTGGCAGTGAGCCGAGATCATGCCATTGCACTCCAGCCTGGGCAACAAGAGCAAAAAACCCCACAAAAAAAAAAAAAAAAGAAACTTTTTTCTTTTTTTTTTTTTTTTGTATATTTGCCTTGTTTTTTGTGATCTTGCTGAATTTTATTTTTTGGTTTTTCAGATTCATTAAAATTATGAAAGCAATCATGTAATACCCAAATGGGACAGTTTTACTTACTCCTTTTTTTTTTTTTTTTTTTTGATGAGACAGAGTCTTGTTCTGTCACTAGGCTGGAGTTCAGTGGCATAATCTCTGTTCACTGCAACCTCCACCTCCCGGGTTCAAGTGATTCTTCCGCCTCAGCCTCCTGAGTAGCTGGGACCACAGGCGCATGCCACCACGCCTGGCTAATTTTTGTGTTTTTAGTAGAGATGGAATTTCACCATGGCCAGGATAGTCTCCATCTCTTGACCTCGTGATCCGCCCGCCTCGGCCTCCCAAAGTGCTGGGATTACAGGCGTGAGCCACCGCACCTGGCCTTGCTTACTCCTTTGGTATTGTTATGCCTTTCATTTCCT